GCTGAGGGAGTGCGGCACAGAGGGAGAGCAGCACAGAGGGAATGTTGCGCTGAGGGAGTGCGGCATGGTGGGCGTGCAGCACAGAGGGAGGGCAGCACAGAGGGAGTATTGTGTAGAGGGAGTGCGGCACAGAGGGAATATTGCATAGAGAGTGCAGCACAGTGGGAGGACAGCACAGAGGGAGTATTGTGTAGAGGAAGTGCGGCACAGTGGATGTGCAGCCCAGAGGGAGAGCTGTTTGTATTTTTGAGTGAGATCCGTCTGCCACCTTGAATGAATTAATGTAACGGTTTCCATGCCATTTACTCTGAGGAAGGTCGGGGGAATTTCTCCCCGGTGTCTTGACCAACATTTTGTATTCTTTTTGAATGTGTATTTGTTCTGGTTAGGGATATGGAAATGTTAATGCCCAATTCTGCTCTGTTTTCGGTACACCTAACACCTGAATGATAAAGTAATGCTATCCAGAAAATTGGGCGAATGTGTTGGTTGGCAATTTGCATCAAACATGCAATTTCACAGCCCAGGTTAACCCAATGTAGAATCCCAATCTTACCTGTGAATCCAATGGAGAACACTGAGCAAAGACTCTTCTTGCTTCTTTCTCCTCTTACTCTTTCCCACTGTTTTATCACTTCACTCCTTTTTCTTCTCTTTGTGTCCCTCTCATTCCTCCTACTTTGACCCCTTCCTTCCCTCACTTTCTTCTTCACCTTTCACCTCCATCCTCTCTCTTCTGCCTTTCACACCCATCCTTCCAAATCCTGTACTCTTTTCCCTCATACTTCTCCATCTTCCTTTTTATTTAATTGGATCATGGTAAGAGGCTGGCACAGGCTTGGCCAGCATTTATTACCTGTCCCTAATTGCTGTAGGCCCTTAGTCACATAGAGGCCAGACCAGGTAGAGAGGGCAAGTTCCCTTCATTTGAAGGACACTGTAATAAGAACCCGTTGAGTTTGTTAAAATAGAATATCCTTTATTGTCACGTGTACTCAAGTACGAACAGTGAAAAGTTTTACAATGTCGCCTCTTATGGTGCCATCTTGGGTACAAATCTTAGATTAATCAATAATAGTTAATTTCTTTAACATCAGATTTTTAAAATATTGAATTAAAATTCACTATGATGGGATTTGAACTCATCTCATTAGAATATTGATCTAGGAGCTCTGCATCACTAACCCAGGGATATCACCACTGTACCACTGCCTTCTCTTTTCCCTTGCCCTCCACTTTCTCCACGTTTGTGATTGATTCCAATCTGCAACTGGAACACAGACTGCAATTCTGTGAACATGCGCTCGTTTGATGAGGAAACAATGTGGGATACAGAAGAATTGCAAATGGGGATTGGGAAGTTTTAACAGATTATGCGTTGATGTCAGTATTTCAATTGCATTTTGATTTTAACTTTGTTAAAACTTTCCTTTGCGAGTGTGCAAGTGAGAAGTGTTATTTGTAAAAAGGTTCCTGTGTCCCTCTGGTGTTTGTTACATCACAAGCTTAGTACCAGGGCTGGTTGGTGAAAAAATCATTCCGACTTTTCTTGCTGCTGCTGAAATATTGGCAATGTTTTCTGATTCTGGCCAGGAGCTTGTATCACGGTAGAGAAATTTACATCGAATGGCATTATCGTTACTGCAACCCCCCTGTCAATATCCTGGGGGTTACCATTGACCAGAAACTGAACTGCACTAGCCATATAAATACAGTGTCCGCAAGAGCAGGTCAGAGGCTGGGAATTCTGCAGTGAGTAACCTGACTCCCAAAGCCAGTCTACCATCTGCAAGTCTTGAGTGTGATGGAATACTCCCCATCTGCCTGGACGAGTGACCACATCCACAGGCATCCACTCCCTCCACCACTGGTGCTCAGTAGCAGCAGTGTGTACCATCCACGAGATGCACTGCAGCAAGACTTCTTAAACAGCACCTTTCAAACTAGTGACCTTTATCACCTAGAAGGACAAGGGCAGCAGATACGTGGGAACACCACCCCCTGCAAGTGCCCCTCCAAGCCACTCACCATCCTGACTTGGAAATATATTGCAGTTCCTTCACTGCTGCTGGGTCAGCATTGGTGAACTTCCTTCCAAGCAGCTTTGTAGGTCTACATAGGTGGCATGGACTGCAGTGGTTGAAGAAGGCAGCTCACTACCACCTTCTCAAGGGCAACAAGGGATGGAGAAACAAACACTGGGCCAGCCAGCAATGCCCCCTCTGGAACATAACACCTCTGTTTTCTCGTGGTCACTGGACAGAGTCCTGGACTTCTCTACCTAACACCCATTGTGAGAGGAGCATTAACACAAGAGCTGCAACAGCCCAAGAGAAACCTGACCTATTGCCTTCTCAGGTCAAAAACAAAAGCCTGAGAAACATAAAGACCTTAAAAGAGTGTGTTTTCCTTATCCAGTTATTGGAATGTGTTGACTGTACACATCTCAAAGCCGGCGTCTTGTTGATGTGAATATCTTTGATGTATACACAGGAGGTAATGGGGTAAATAAAAGTACATGAGGTATCATTTTCAGTGAAGGGAGGTGAAGATTGTGGCACCATTCAACCTTTGCCAGTAACTGAAGTAGCCTGTCCTGCTGTGTTTCAGAAGGCGAACCCATTGAAGCAATCGCCAAGTTCGATTATGCTGGACGCTCTGCTCGGGAGCTGTCGTTCAAGAAGGGAGCTTCACTGCTTCTGTATCACAGAGCATCTGAGGACTGGTGGGAGGGAAGACATAATGGGATTGACGGGCTCGTACCCCATCAGTACATTGTGGTGCAGGACACGTAAGTAATGGTTCTCATCTACCCAGCTGATGTTACTACTGGACAAGTCAGATCCCAGAGTGAAATCTAGCTTGATAGATCATATTTTTAATTGAATGCGGGGGTGGTCTGTCATTGCAACATGAACACACAAGGCTATGGAGTTGGTTTTAACATTGAAACACAGTTTATTATACAAAAGAAATTAAATAAAACAAAGTAAACTACCTAAATATAACACAGTTTGAATGATTTTGAAACACGCAACCAAACAAAATCCTGTCTACTGCCCAACACCATCACTTTACACACCAGAGGAATTTTTCTCCCTTATAAATCTATAGGTTTGACTTAACAGCTTCTTCTCAGTCCTGGTCCTATGAGTTGTGAGGCTTTTTCCCTTGACAACGCACACAGCTGAGAGCTTAGACTTCTTTAGTCCTTTAGTAATTTGCAGAGTTCCAACCAAACACATCTGGTCTGAACAGTCTCCTTTTCAAGGGGAACCAGTTCTTGCATCTGATTTTAGTCAAGTCTCGTTCAAACTAGACAAAAGCTTTCCCATCTCTGTGTTACATATTTGCTGTAAAATAATGGTTCTGGAAAGACTGATCTAGTTAATTATTAAACTTCTTCACAAAACTAAACCAAAGCACATATGCCACTAGTTTGAAATTGCAAACTCTTTAAAATAAATATGTATGTGTATATGTAAATCGCACATTTTTCATTGCATCTTTCATCAACTAAATGGCACTAATTAACTTAACTCACAACCAGTCATCCTGAACTGGGGCAGCTTTGTTCTAATTTGAAAGAGATACACAATATGAACGTAGAATTATGAAGAAATTGAGACATAGATATAAACTTAGCTGTTTGACCCTTGCTGTTTAGTGCAGTCGACAGCTACAACACATTGATGGCCCTTTCCTCTAAGTCACAAGGTTCACTCTGAGCCTGGGGCTAACATTACAGTGCAGTACTGAGGCCCATGGTACCATCTCTCAGATAAGATGTTGAACTTACATCCACACTTTCCATTTCCTGTGGGTGTGCAATGACCTGCAGGCACCTTATGAAGAAAAGCTAGGGTGTTCTCCCTGACATCTGACATTTGGGCAGTATGGTGGTACTATGGTTAGCACTGCTGCCTCATGGTGCCAGGGTCCTGGTTTCAATTCCAGCCTTGGATGACTGTCTCTGTGGAGTTTGCACATTCTCCCTGTGCCTGCATGAGGTCCCTCCTACAGTCCAAAGCGATACAGCATAGGTGAATTGTCCATGTTAAAAGTTTCTGGGTGGGATGCCCTTCAGAGGGTTGGTGCAGATTCGATGGGCCGAATGGAATCATCCTGCACTGTAGGGATTCTGTGACATCCTGGTCAGAAGCAGATGGTCTGGTCAGTGCTTTTTGTGGGTGCATGCTGCCATGCACCCTTCAACAGCAACGATGTCTCAAAAGGTCTTAATTGGCTGTCCAACAGTTTGGGCCTGTGCTCAGATCATAAAAGGCACAAGGTGCAACTTATCTTCTCCATCCTTCCTACCTTTTCTTGTATGCTCTTTCATTCTGTTCTTAGCCAAGGGTTAAAGAGAAAGGAGTCTTAGTTTTCAACAACAAGGACCAATTCACTGGTGAGGTGACCTTTCATATTTTTAAATTTGACCCCCACATTGGGTTTCTGGAGTTGGGAGACCTGCTGAAAGTTGAAGCTAATCCTGGCTTGTGTTCCTCTCAGGGATGATACCTTTTCTGACACTCTGAGCCAGAAAGCTGACAGTGAAACCAGCAGCGGGCCAACAGCTGAAGACAAGCTGTCCTCCAAGAACGACATCAGCTCACCAACTGATCGTGTTCCAGATGTTTACGCGGCAAGGTCAGTAGCTGCCTGGCAAAGTTACTCCGACACCATCAGTACAAAAACAAAACGTCACAGATGCTGGAAATCCAACTCAGAAACTAAAACTGCTGGAGATACTCAGTGGGTCAGGAGAGAGAAGGAATGGATGTTTCAGATTAATGCTCGATCACACCGGAGAGCCGTCCCAATAGGACTTCCCCCACCAACACCACCCCTCCCGCAAAAAAAAAATGGAAGGGGCTGGGAAGATTTTGGCCATAACACTTGAAAAGGCAAATGAGAATTAGTTAATGGGGAGGCGATGGCCTAGTGGTATTATCACCGGACTGTTAATCCAGAGACCCGGATAATATTCTGGGGATCTGGGTTTGAATCCCGCCATGGCAGATGGTGGAATTTGAATTCAATATAATATCTGGAATTAAGAATCTAATGATGACCATGAATCCACTGTCGATTGTCAGAAAAACCCATCTGGTTCACTAATGTCCTTTAGGGAATGAAACTGCCATCTTTACCTGGTCTGGCCTACATGTGACTCCAGACCCATAGAAAATATGGTTGACTCTTAACTGCCGTCTGGGCAGTTAGGGATAGACAATACATGTTGGCTTAGCAGCGATTCACTCATCCCGTGAATGAATAAAAAAAGTAACTATTTTAAAGGAACTAATATACATGGCTGCAGGGAAAGAACAGGGCAGTGGGACTAATTGAACAGGTTGGCCAATGATCCAGTAGAGGCACAATGGGTTAAAGGGCTTGTATATATGATCCTGACTCCCCAAAGCCTGTCCACCATCTGTGGGGTACAAGTCAGGAGTGTGATGGAATACTCCCCACTTGCCTGAATGAGTGCAGCCCCAACAACACTCAAGAAGCTTAACACCGTCCAGGACAAAGGAGACCATTTTATTGGCACTACATCCACATCCACCATCTGCAACCCTCCCATCGTCATGTGGTAACAGTACATGGCATGTACAAAATGCACCACGGTACCTCAACCCTCTCCTCTGACATCTTCTTCCAAACCCATGACCATTACCATTTAGAAGGACAAAGCAGATACATGGGAGTCCCTCAACCTCCAAATTCTCCTCCAAGGCAGTTATTATCTTGACTTAGACATACATAGCCGTTCCTTCGCTGTCACTGGGTCAGAATCCTGGAACTCCCTCCCTAACAACATTGTGGGTCAAATTACAGCAAATGGACTGCAGCATTTCAATACTGCAGTTCACTGCCACCTTCTCAAGGGCAATTAGGGATGGGCAATAAATGCCCAGCCAGCAATGTCCACATCTTAGTAAATATTTGCAAGGAAGAACTCCATAGATGTGACTACTGTCTGAGAGCAAAAGATCCTCCCCATCTTTGTCTTAAATGGACCTTACTCAGAGATGATGCCTTCTGTACTAGACTCTCCCACAAGGGGAAGCATGTTTCCATATCTGCCCCATCAAGGCCCATATGAAAGTTATATTTTTCAATAGGGTTACCTCTCATTCTTCTATCTCCTTTTTGTGATTCATGGCATGAGGACTCCCAAGTCCCTCTGTGCTGCAGCTTCCTGCAGTATTTCCCCATTTAAATAATATTCAGCTGCTCTATTTGTGCCAATCACCTGCCTTTTCCCCGTAACCCTGACATGGTTTCACGTTCGATCCATATCCTCAGTGCCAGTGAATTGTTTTAAAGCTTTATTGCTGATGTTCTACAGGACATTGGGACGTTTGTGCGAACTACAGGGGCAAAAAAGGTGAGGCTATTTGTGTTTTCTTTTGTCCTCTAGACAGAAGAGGAGACCAGAACCACCAACAACTCGACGCCCATTGAGACCCAACGACGGGCACTGTGCAGTGCACCCAGTCCATGGCTTAGTAAGTAGCTCAGGGGACGGTGGCCCTTTGATCATGCCTACCCACGCCAGCTCCCGCCTCTTCCACCAGAATCGCAGCGTACTGCTTGACAGTCCGGAGAGGCGTCGCCGAGGTGCCCTTGGCAGCCTTTCCAACCTAAGCCGCCAGGAGGCTCTCAAAAAGATCGAGAGTCCGCCAATCAGAAGGTCTACGTCCTCCGGTCAATACAACAGCTTCAGTGAGCATAAACCTCTAGACCCTGAAACAATCGCCCAGGTCTGTGCAAGACTTTTTTTTTATCATCTGCCTTGACGTTTTAAATTTTCAGTGTTGACTTGTGGTCTTTTAATGGAACATTTCTTGAACCTTTGTCGTCACAGTTGTCATCTTGGTTTTCAAGTTTCCAATCTGTCCTTATTCATTTTGCTCAATCATTGTTCAACTGAATGAATGCATCTCACTGTGGCTGTTAATTTTGCCAAATCTTACTGAACGGTAATCAGTCACTGTTTGTTACCTTGTCATTGGGAAAGTGGGCTAGCATTGGGGGACCGAGAGAAAGAGCTAAGCTCCTCCATTCTTTGTGCCTTGATATGTCAGCTGCTGCCATGGCTAAACCCTGGAACAACAAATTGCATTTCTGTAGCGCTTTTAACACAGTGCAGCCTCGCATGGCACTTCACAGGAACGTTATCAAACAAAATTCGACATTGACCATTGGGGAGCTGTAGGTCAGCAAACGTTTGGTCGAGGCGGTAATTTTAAGGAGCATCTTAAAAGAAGAGAAGTGACGGTGAGATTTAGGGCAGAGTTCCAGAGTGAAGGGCCTTAGCAGCTCCTGTGGGGCAGGGGCACATAGGGTTGGTCAGACTGGAGTTGGTGCCCCATGAGATCAGGAATGTACAAGAGGAGCTAGAAAGAAATTGTTCTTGTCAAGTTTACCCTTCAAAATGTCTACGTCATTCACCTCAGCTCCTTCCCATTTCCTGTGCTGATGAATAACACATCCTTACTGCTGTGATGAGATAAATTTATCCTCCTTCCCTGATGGATTAATTAGCAACTGTCTTGTGTTTATGGCCCCCTAGCTTTGGATTCTTTTACACCTCATTCTACATGAGACTCCAAGTTAAAAACAAACCAAATATTTGCTCACTTGAAACACAGCAATTAAGACATTTGCTTTCCATCCTGTTGGAGCTTTAAGGAAATTTCAATGATCTCAACAAAGTTTAACTGTTTCAGAAAAAAACTAAATTTCAGAGCATCGCGCTACACAAGCATCCTGTCTTAAGCCACTGTCTGCACAACGACCAGCCTTAGTCAACTCAATGTCAAAGTCATACAGCGCGGAAACAGACCTTTCGGTCCAACCAGTCCATGCCAACCATAATTCTGAACTAAACTAGTCCCACCTTCCTGTTCTTGATCCATATTCATCCAAATATTTCCTATTATCAAAATGTCTTTTAAACGTTGTAACTGTACCCACATTCAGCACTTCCTCTGGAAGTTCATTCCACATACGACCCACTCTCTGTGTTAAAAAAGTTGCCCCTCATGTCTTTTTTTTAAATATTTCTCCTCTCACCCTAGTCTTGAAATTTCCCCCCTAGGGAAAAGACACCTGCCAATTCACCATATCTATTCCCTTCATGATTTTATAAACCTCTATAAGGTCATCCCTCAAACTCCTATGTTCCAGTGAAAAAAGTCCCAGCCTATCCAGCCTCTCCTTATAATTCAAACCCTCCATTCCCGGCAACATCCTATTAAGTCTTTTCTGAAGCTCTACAGCTTAATAATATCCTTCCTATAGCAGGGTGACCAGAACTGTACACAATAGTCCAGAAGAGGCCTCACCAATGTCCTGAACAACCTCAAGATGACGTCCCAACTCAACTAGTGCACTTCAAGTTAGGAATAGATGGTTCGAGACAAAGTGGACAACTTGATGCAGCATTTGATAAGTTAGCAATCTATCCAGGATTCTATCCCTCCCGTGTGAAGAGAGTTCCAAACCAGCCACAAACCTTTACTGCAGCACACAAAATAAAACATACAATCCCTCTAGGGTTTTCCAAATTACATGGGTATATAAATTAGGGATATCGACACACAAACTTTTGAATACAAGATTTGCTAGAATTTATTACAGGGGTCTCTGGGGTGAAGGAGTTCGTATTACAAGGATGAGCATTGCTGTGTTATTCTGTATTCATTGGAATGGAATGTGTGGAGGGTGATTTAAGGGTTAGGAAGCAAATTTCTTAGAAAATGATTAAGTTTTTCAAAACCCAGGTTGGCAAGAGAAAATCTAAATAATTATTATATCTGTCTTAAAACCTATCTTTATATTTGCAGCTCTAATGGACTTTTTCCAGAGGGTTTGCCAAAAGCAAAGACATTAATGTTGTGAATCCAAAGCTGATCTAAATCGGTTTATAGAATTAGCCACTAGGAAGCCATGAGTAAGATGCAGCAGGAGATGTTGCTCATGTCATTGGACTCATAATCCTAAGTCTCTGGCTGAAATCCAGCATAGCAACTGGTGGATTTAAATTCAATTCATAATACATAATTGGAATTAATTGGATAATCAATCTAGATTAATAAATAAGGAATTGAAAACTCTGTAATGGTAACCATGAAGTTACCATTAACTGTTGCAAACACCCATCTGGTTCACTAATGTCCTTTAGGGAAGGAAGTCTGCCATCCTTACCAGGTGTGTCCTACATGTGACTCCAGACCCACAGCAACGTGGTTGACTCTTTACTGCCTTTCTGAAGGGACTTAGCAAACTACTCAGCGCAAGGGCATTTAGCAATGTGCAATAAATTCTAATGTGCACGATCATTATGAATTGAGAAGAAAAGGAATTTCTTTACTCCAGAAATTGGAATTTCCTACCTTAGAGAGCTGTAGATGCTCAGTTGATGAATATGTTAAAGATTGAGTGTGGTAGATTTTTGGGAGCTGTCAGATTCAAGTAACATGGGGTGAATGTCAATGATGAGCCATGACCTTATGGAGTGGAATGGTACAGGAAGCTCAAGGGGCCGATTGGCCTATCTGAGCTCCTATCTTGTTTATTTTTCAGTCTTGTTTCCCACAGCGATTATGTAATAATTGTTAAGTATTCCCTGCACCATTTTTGGTGTGGACTCTTAATGCCTGTACCAGAATATCCCATTCAGAAAACAGAGATAACACAGTGTGGAGCTGAAGGAACACAGCAGGCCAGGCAGCATCAGAGGTGTAGGAAAGTTGATGTTTTGGGCCGGGATCCTACCTCAGGGAGAGGGACCTGACCTGAAACATCAACTTTCCTGCTCCTCCGATGCTGCCTGGCCTGCTGTGTTCCTCCAGCTCTACACTGTGTTGTCTCTGACTCCAGCTTCTTGCTATCTCCATTCAGAAAACATTCCCTTATTGGACCCCTTTTGTCAACCGTGGAATGTGCATCAATGCACATAAAGTTTTGTTTGATGTGGGTGCAACTGAAGTAAAAACCACCATTTTCTACAAAAACAAATTCCATGATCTTCAGTATCATTTTTCTCACATCGCTGCTGTGTCTTAGGGCAGAAGGAATTTTAGGCTGAATTGCTTTGTGTGTGCACCTATTTTTTTATTCATTCACAGGATGAGGGCGTCTCTGGCATGGGCAGCATTTATTGCCCATCCCTAATTTCCCAGAGGGCAGTTAAGAGTCAGTCACGTTGCTGTGGGTCTGGAGTCACATGTAGGCCAGACTAGGTAAGGATGGCAGATTTCCCTCCCTAAAGGACATTTAGTGAACCAGATGGGCTTTTCCAACAATCAACAGTGCTCGGCATTAGATTCTTAATCCCATTTTTTTTTTTAAAAAATTATTAAATTCAAATTCCACCATGGCAGGATTCGAACCCAGGTCCCCAGAACACTGACTGAGATGCTGACTTAATAGTCTAGTGATTGTAGCACGAGGCGATTACCTCCCCTTAAATCAAAGCTGTTATTCTTGACTGTTTTAACTTCTCCAGTGATTCTCTCCTCTTTATCTCAGTGAAGAGAAATAGCAGATTATAGCTTCCAGAACTTTCCATAATTGACTTTGCCTTTGTCATGGTGGGCAAAAGGACAGAGTCTGGTTGTGGCCTCAGTCTCTGAGCTTTTCCTATTCTGGCCACTTAAGGATCGCCAAATTTAATCACTCCTGTTTTTTGAGCCTCTTAAACGCTGGAGCTCTGCACCCCTCTCTCTAAGAAGCTTTCTAAGAAGCCCATTCAAACCTACCTCTCAAACAAAGCTTCAATCTCCTGCCTTGGGCTCTGAGTGCCAACTTTTATTTGACAACGCTCCTGTGAAATACCTTGGAACATTAAGGGCACTATGTGCACATAGTTTGTTCTTGTAGAATGATCCAAGGGGCTTGTGCTTCTACAGAAGGATACCGAAGATGGGTCTGGTCACTAATTGGGGGAGGAGGGGGTTTTCTGTGACTAAGCCTGTTCAGGTTTTCAGGCAATCTTAAGGTTTTTAAAGAAAGTGCTTTTTTCCCTCTCTTTCTCTCTCTTTTCCCCGCCAGGACATCGAAGAGACAATGAACACCGCATTGAATGAGTTGCGGGAGCTGGAACGTCAGAGCACGGTGAAGCCTGCTCCCGACGTGGTCCTGGACACCCTGGAGCAGAAGAAGACCGCACCAGTCGCTCTCCCTCCTGGTGACCCGAGAGGCGGGCATCCCCCTGCCATCCTGAAGAGCGTCGACCCTGCCATCCGAAGGAGCACCAGCTCTTCCAGTGACCCCGTGGGCACCTCCAAGCCCGTCCTGTCACCCCGGATGGGCTTGCAGCTCAAGCCCCCCGCCCTCAGGCCCAAGCCACTGGTACTCCCCAAGACCAACCCCAGTGTGGCACCTCCCCCCACTGTCCAAAGCTCCACAGACAAATCCTGCACCATGTAAATAAGCTGCTGTGACTTGAAAACTCACCCTTTTGGATCGATATGGTTGGCAAAGGACAAGAAGGGGAATATTGACATTTTAAAAGTTGTATTTGGAGCTGTATTCTTTCAGTGTTAGAATATATGTCTCAGTAGTAAATTAACAAGGGGATTTGATCTCCTTTTCAAACTGGACTGTATATGTGGGACTGACACTAATGTTAACTCAACTTGAAAACTTATGCTGCAACTGTTAACTTTTTTTTCAAAGAAAAGAGAAAGTTAGCTTTAAAAAAAGGACTTCCCATCTTCTCGAAAGACCATTTATTTAAACAAAAGCAGGGAACGTGATAGCATTTCATATTTTTTTTGACCCGGAACTGATGGGAGGGTGTGGGAGGGGGACTGAACCTCTACTTTGGTCGTACTGCCTGTCGAAGAGCAGCCCACAGACTGTGCTGTGCCTCTCGTTACTCACTCCTTCTGTTCCGTTTAACATTCCTTCGGCCTCAGCGCCAGGTTTGCGTCACGAAAGCACTGCTTTGCAAATGAATGGAAGCGACGGAAAGGGTAACCACGCATGAAGCTGCTGCCACCTTTCCTCGTTACGCGGTTACGATGGGAAATCAATCCTGCGCCTACATCCTCGCATTTGCGAGTACTGCAGCTTTCTCCGTGAAGCGGGATGTGTTGTTGATTGAACACTGGGTGTGGTAAGCAAAGCCGAAGGTTTGGAGTTTAGAACATAAAGGATTCCATCTCCCCCGCCAAAACAATCGAGGGGAAAAGTGAGCATCCATCTCATCTCTCCCTAATCCTTAATAAATTCACGCACACTAAACCCACCACTCCAGTTTTATAGAGTCATACAGCACGGAAGCAGACCCTTCGGCCCAACTCGTCCATGCTGACCAGGTTTCCCAAACTAAACTAGTTCCATTTGGCTCCTATCCCTCTAAACCCTTCATTCTTTTTAATGAACTACATGTGAATACCGTTGCTTTGGGTTGCATGTTTCCCCAATGCCCTTGAGCTCCAGTTACCATTTTTTTTTTGGTGACCAGCCTGTCTGGTTCTTCCCAAGCCCAATGTCGTTGTTCATTTCTGGGCAGTTTTGAGACACTCCGCCTACATGGGTTCCTTTCTGTCATTGCTGACCTTCTGGAACCTTTATTCCCCTCCCTTCGCCCCACCCTGTACCCACCCAGCCACTGGCCCCTCACTCCACAACTGCACCCTCTCCACTGTGCCTCGCATCCAGCTATGGAGAAAGTTGAGAGGGGAATTGGTTAAGGTCCAGAATCACCACTGAAATGAGTTCTTTGGAACTTTCATATTGCTAGGTGGAGTCCAAAGTTCCGAGATGACCCCCCCAGGTAATGGAGTTTTCTCTTGAAAAACAGCAATTTTGTTGGTAAACGTGTGTCATGACGGCCTTTTACGGACTTCCGCACAGCGATGACTTTGAATAAGTAGTTGCACTCGGGCAGCAATTGGACTGTGATAGATTTTGGGGGGTTTTATAGACCTCGGTCTTTGCAACCCTTCAGTGGTCTCTCATTATCATCCACCAAAGCACTGCCGGTCTCTTCCAAATAGACCACGGGCTGTGGAATTGGAACTGAAAAAGGAAGTTGGATTGTCAATCATTATTGTGTTTTGAATGGACGCCTTATCAATTGTGTTAAAGGGATGAAATCATGCCAGCCAAATTTCCTTACAAATTTCCATGGGAACAGAAGTCGGAAGTGACAGCTAATGGCAGCTTGTTCAAGATCAACCATGTTATGTGTTGGCCAAAGTCAAATGAGCCACGTATCACAAGTTAACCCCTCTCCCTGCCACAAGGCTAACTTTACAGTTTCTCCCAACGTTACAGAGTTTAGTTTCCTACCTTGCTTTTATTTATATATAAATGCTCATGTTTACATGGTCATGAAAGAGATCCTTGGTTTACATTTCACTGATATTTCCTGTTCATCTTCAAGCCCACTTCTGCTACGCTACTGGATTTTTCCACGATGACCTGTTTAGGTTTCCCGATTACTTCCTGTAGTACATTGTAAGAAGGTATTAATCTTGGTCAGAAGTGAAAGGAGGTGAACTCTTCAAAATGCCTGAAACCATGGTAGAATTGAAAATAATGCCTGATTTTTAAAACAAACAGTGCAGGTAAAATAATGCTACTTTTTTTTCCAAAATTTCATCTGGGTGACCTATTTCCTCTCCCTTGTGTAAAATTTCTGCTTTAGTAAGTTGGAATAACTCTTTCAGTTGCATTGCAAGCCCTACATCTGATTATTGGCAAGATCCCTGCAAACAACAGCAATCTGGATTTAAAAGTTGCTCACTAATCCCGATCTTTTCCTTCCATAAACTAGCTTTAAGATTAATAAACGTGGTGTTTGTATATGTATGCATTCATTAAAACCTGGAAAGGAATCTCAACATAAATGTTTAGGGCATTAGGTCGTAATGGGGAGGATTTGGCCTGTGCAGAGCCTCTGCTGGTTATATTGAACTGAATAGTGTGGTTCTTCCCTCTGTGCCTTGGCTCTTCCGTCTAGAGGGTTGTGTACCTATTCTGGAAAGGGTACATCAACCACTGCCATGGGCCAAACCCTTTATATCTGCAACGGCCAGCAAGTCTGTCCATGTGGTGCAGTGGTAGTGTCTCCACCTCTGAGCCAGAGGTTCACATCTGATCTACTCCAGAGGTGCGTCATAACACGTCTGGACAAATTGGTTAAAAATATCCCAAAAACGCGTACGTCCCAAATGGTGCTTTTTTTCTCCTCTATTTGTTAACACGCAGAAGTTAAAACTGGTCGTTTCTTTTTATTTTATCCCTTGGGATTCTGCAAGATGTGCTTCCTTGTGATCACCTCCTGTGTCCTCTATATAGATTTCAGATCAATGATCCCTGCGTTGTTGTCTGTCTGATCTGAGGTCAGTGGTGCGCACTGACAGAGTAGCACAAGTCAAAAACACGGTTTGTTCACCAGGGGATCTCCTCCACATTAAAGCCCTTTGACACCATTTCCAGGAACACACTGACGTCTGTGTTTCCAACCCTGCTGTCGTATCTGGCATCACTTCGCTGACTCAATAGCTTTGTTTGCTCGTTCCCTGTGGTCCTCTTCGACCTGACTTTGAGACTGGAATACTACTTCGGCATGACCAAAGGAGTGCCAGTGTTATACCACCCTGTGGCATAGTGCACCGGTACATTAACCCAACAGTGCCACAGTCTATTGACTCAAACAACTGCCTAACTCTTAGCCCTTTACAAAAACCACCTCAGAGACCATTGTCATTGAAAAGCTGCACATACATCCAATCTGTGGTTTATTGAGCTTGTGATGCACATTCATTTCTGTCTGCCATGAACCTAATCTACTAAATTTAGATCTTTTCGAAACATTTTACAGTTTCCACCTCGTGTGGTCTTTTAAAGAATGTGGTAGTACTTTTAAGGAATATGTAGTATAGAGTTCACTTAAATTAATTTAAAAGAAACAAAATGTACATCAGCCAAAATGGATTCTGCAACTTTGCATTGCTCCCAGGATTTGTATATTCAAATAATAATTATACTGGATTGCAAGAAATACTTACAGCAGATCCGAATTTAGCAAAAGTGTATATGGAAATGATCAATTTGACAAGTGTTTTCTGGGTGCAATCACGGAAAATATGTAGTCCAAGGCTAGGCTTCTTTAAACTGCAGTTTAAGTGGATTTGTAACAGGGAACTGATAACAGCTACAGACACTGAGTGGTAACTCCATTGACCACCTACCTGACAAACTCTGGATCCTTTACTGCCATTTTAGTCACAGATAGTTTCCTCACTGTCTGCTGTTACCCCATTGTGTCAATGTACATCTGTGGTATGTACATGCAGAAGTGCCTTTAAACTCTTAGAGAAACTTGAGCCTTGTTCTGTACTGTTGCATTTCCATTTTCACTCATTGAACAACCCTAGTTTTAAACAAAATGCAGTCGTTGACAATGTACTGTTAATCAGTTGTGACAATGCACTTTTGTGTATAGTACTGTACATCTGGCATGTAACATTACCAATTTCAGTATATCTTCTGGTTTGTTCTAGATGTATCTTTCTAATAAAGAAAATTGGTCCATTCTCTGGGATTTGTTTATTCACATAGATTTCTTTCATTCCTTAGAAATCTGTAACCTTATTGTGTGCTATATCAGCATTGGCAACAGCAATTGAATAGGTTTACTTTTTGACCTTGAACTTTGACTATATCACCAATGGAGACATCTTACAACAATTGAATCATTTGCATTTATATAGTACCTTTCCTGACCACAGAACCTTGTAAAGTGCTTGATAAGCAATTGTCTATCAAAATATAGGAAACACAGCAGCCATTGTTTGCATAGCAAGGTCTCCCAAAGAAGGACAGTAGCTCTGGGATTTTCCAGAAAAAAAAGTGCTGTGTGATTGTTTTGTGATTAGGAGTACACAATTGTGCAACACTTTTAACAGCTGGGAAAGATTGAATTCTGTTGCCTCGGGGAATTGGGGGATATGGAGAGCCGATAGGAAAACAAAGTTGGGGCTCAAGATCAACCACGATTGTTCTGAATGATAGTGCAGGCTTGATGGGCTGAATGGTCTGCTATTTCCTGTGTTTTTTGAGAGGGCAAATGTGATCTTGGTTTAAGGTCTCACCTGAAAGGTGGCACCTTCAACTGTACAGCCTGCCCTCTGTACTATCCTGGATTGTCAGCCTGGGATTTGTGTCCAAGTCTCTGGCATGGGATTTCAGCCAAAGGACAGCCTCATTGGTCACGTTAACGATGATTAATCCACCACATACTCTTCAGTAAATTGCTCTATGTTTGTGTCTCTGCACAAGTGCAGAAGGGGTTTATACTGAGGCTTCAGCCCTGGGTTGACTGCCCAGGGACTCAGGCCTGTACCGAACTTGTTTAACAAAGATCACCCTCACTGGGGCTGGGGATGTGTTTGTTTAAAACCTGCCATTCAAAGCTGGGGTGTGTGACATGAAGCTTATAAGTGACACGATGGGTCACTGGTTAACACTTCTACCTCACAGCACCAGGGACCTGGGTTTGATTCCACCCTCAGGTGACTGCTTGTGTGGAGTTTGTACATTCTCCCCATGTCTGCGTGGGTCCGTCCTGGTGCTCTGGTTTCCTTCCACAGTCCAAAGATGTGCAGCTTAGGTAAATTGGCTGTGCTAAATTTCCCCATAGCATTCTGGGATGTGCAGGCTAAGTGTACTAGCTGTAGGAAATGCAAGGATGGGATAGTGGGGTGGGGCACTCTTCAGAGGGTTAGTGTGGGCTGAATGGTCTGCTTCCAAATTTTAGGGATTCTGTGACTTCCCTGTGTTTCCCAATCGTTGATCCAAAGCGATTGTCTTCAGGAAAGTTATCTTGTACAATGCTCGGAGATGGTGGGTGGACTGAACATCTCATTTAAGAGAGAGGGGCAGCATGAAGAATTTCAAATGAAATGCGGGTTTTTGCCATTTGGTGGGTGAGAGGGCTGATATTGACAAGGACAGGAGCCAGAGGGAAGGGTGTTGAGCGGAAGGTTCCAGTTAGAATGAGGTTTATTGTCATGTGTACTCAAGCTACAAAAGAACAGGAGTACAGTGAAAGGTGTACAATGTCGCCAACACATGGCACTGTCTTAGGTACATTGTACTAATCTTAGGTACAAAAAATAGAGAAAATAAAGAAAAATAGTTATACTACATTGCAGATATACATAGTATAAGTTAGGAAACTTATGACGCATTGTTGTATTCAGTTGTTGACAAGATGTGTGAGGCCGTGATGACTGAATGCCATCAAGTTCACATTTCATTGCTTTGAAACATGGTAAGGCAACTACTGATGTTTGAGCACTATGGCAGCAGAGTCTCTCACAGATCCAGCAAAGTGGTTAATAAGTTGTTTCTTGTTTTGACCTTTGCTGCTGTTTCCTTTAGATGTTCCCTGAAGGCTAAAGACCTTTCTAGGGGCACTCCCAAGTATGTTGACTTGGGATCATGCTTTGCATTTTGACAGTCTGGGTAGGTCTGCAATTCTTTTCTGGCGTTGGCATTATGGAGGCGGAGACACTGGCTATGGTTTTAGAGGGGTTCAGAGTGAGACTCCCATGTGCTCCTGGAGTCCCATCAACTTTGCAACATCTTTGTTAAGGATCTGGCCCAGGGTGCTGAACATGGAGCCTGGATGACACAATAGATGTCATCAGCATAGAAGAAAGATTGGCCATGCTAAATTGACTGTAGTATCCAGGGCTGTGCAAGCTAGATGGATTAGTCTTGGGAAATGCAGAGTTACAGGGATAGAATAGGAGGATGGGTCTGGGTAGGATGGTCTTTGGAGGGTCAGTGTGGACTCTATGGGCTGAATGGCCTGCTTGCACACTGTAGGGATTCTCTAATTCTATAATGTAGTTGTTTACAGGCTATGAATCAATTTGATTTGATGTATTGTCACGTGGACTGAGATACCGTGAAAAGTATTGTTTTGCATGCTGTACAGGCAGATCGTACCATACAAAGTGCATCAGGTAGCAGAACAGAGTGCAAGATACAATATATCAAAACAGGATTGGGGCTGGGCACTGTGCTTATCCATAGGCAGTCTTCTCCATCCACCTCCCTCCCCTCTAAAAGGGACTGTCAACCATCTGTTTCAACAAACTATCCCAAGATAGTTTGAAAATACCCTGGAAAGTTGGCCAGTGTGCCACACTGTATCATAAGTCACTGCGAGGTCCAGGACTACAATGCCTGGTTTTATGTTACTGGGGACGGTGCCTGCCTATCAGGAGCTGCATTGCAGGATATGACACTCAAAGATCATTAAGTGCCCAGGAAGTAGTGAAATTGGTCGGTAGCTAGACTCCCAGCTTTTCCAGATTTTGTAATAGTGAGTTTATAGTGTCCCAGAGACGAGACTGGACACACCACATTAACACAATGGCTGTAAGAGCAGAACAGCAGCTGGGAATACTGCAGCAAGTAACTCACCTCCTGACTCCTCAAAGCCTGTCCGCCATCTATAAGGCACAAGTCAAGAGTGTGATGGAATACTCCCCACTTGTCTGGATGAGTGCAGCCCCAACAACACTCAAGAAGCTTGACACCATCCAGGACAAAGCAGCCCATTTGATTGGTACTACATCCACAAGCATCTGCTCCCTCCAACACCGACGCTTGGTAGCAGCAGTGTGTACTATCTACAAGATGCACTGCAGAAGCTCACCAAAGATCCTCAGACAGCACCTTCCAAACCCACGACCACTTCCATCTAGAAGGACAAGGGCATCAGACATATGGGAACACCACCACCTCCAAGTTCCCCTCCAAGTCACTCACCATCCTGACTTGGAAATACATCACTGTTCCTTCCCTGTCACTGGGTCAAAATGCTGGAATTCCCTGCCTAATAGCATTGTGGGTCACCCACAACAGGAGGACTACAGCAGTTAAAGAAGGCAGCTCACCACCACCTTCTCAAGGGCAACTAGGGATGAGCAAGAAATGCTGGCCAGCCAGCGACGCCCACATCCCACAAATTAATAGAAAAAAAAGCCAAGAGTTGAAATGGATGGTCAATATGGAACCTTTCAGAATCAGAGACATATTAGAAATGTCAATTACTAAGGGACGTAGGTTCAAGGTAAAAGGGCCTTAAGATTAAAGGAGATGTGAGCGGCAAGATTTTTTTACACAGAGGTTGGTAAGTGCCTGGACTGCACTACCAGAGGAGAATGGAGGGAATAAAAATGGAAAGAACTGCAGATGCTGTAAATTAGAAACAAAAACGGAAACTGGTGGAAAAACTTAATAGGTCTGGCAGCATCTAAGGAGAGAAGTCAGAGCTAACGTTTCAGGTCGATTGACCCTTCCTCAGAATAGAGGGATACAGACCACATAGAGGCAAAAGGCTTTTAGTTTAGAAAGTATCATCTGTCAGCACAGGTTTGGTGGGCTGAAGGGCCCGCTCCTGTGCTGTACTGTTCTTTGCTTCGATGCAGAAAGAAGCCATTTGGCCTGTTGTGCCTGCCCTGGCTCTTCAAACAAGCATCATGATCCTGTGCCAATCTGCAGCTTTTACCCCATACCTCCATATGTTGATTTCATTCAATTAATCATCCAAAGGTCTCTTGAATGCCTCAACTGAATTGTCCCCCTCCATCACATTTCTAGGCACTGCATTCCATAGCCTAACAAGTTGCTACATGAAATTGTTTTGCACCATTCCCTCTCTTGCACATCTCTCTAAATCTACACCCTCTTGTTCTTATTTCTTTGACAAAAGGGAACAGCTTCTCCCTTTCTACTCTACTCAGTCTACTCATGATTTTGAAAACTTCTTTCAAGTCTCCTCTCAGCCACTTTCACACCAAGGAGAACATTCTCAACTTCTTCAGTCTGTCCTTTATAGTTTCTCAATCCTGGAGCCATTCTTGTAAATCACTCCTGCTCTCTCTCTATTGCATGCACATCTTTCTTCTAAAATGACATCCAGAACTGTACACATTATTCCAGCTATGGTCTAACGAATGCCTTGTACGAGTGCGTATGAGATCTTTGGAATGCGTTTGGCAATTTGTCAACTGCTGCTGACAATTTAAGGGTTACCTGTGATCACTTCTGCTTCACAGAGATCACTAGGATTCATCCTTCATGGTCAGTGACATGGTCAACATCGCTTATGGCCAGGATTTCAAATCGACATCATTCGTCAATGCGTGAGAGTAAATGCAGAGTAATAAAATGAAAGATGTGTTTAATTTTGAATCTTGAAGGACTCACGCTGCCCACAAGTGGACCTACCCCTAAAGAAAACAACAAAACACACTGACTCCACCCACTCTGGATTTGTGGGCAGCTATTTCGGCCTCGTGGTATTATCGCTGGACTGTTAATCCAGAGACACAGATAAGGGTCTGGGGACCCAGTTTCGAATCCTGCCATGACAGGTGGTGGAATTTGAATTCAATAAACATCTGGAATTAAGAATCTAATGATGACCATGAATCCATTATCGATTATCGGAAAAACCCATCTGGTTCACTTATGCCCTTTAGGGAAGGAAACTGCCATCCTTACCTACTGGCCTACATGTGA